AGCAGTTTAGCCCACTGTGCTACAGTGATTGGATAATTGTGATGATGATGATAAAAAAAATAAAAAAAAGACAATGCTTGGTAAGGCAGATAGCAGGAGGAAAATCACCCATCTCATTATGGGTGATTAGACTCATTCAAAGAAGCCAAAGCTCTGAATCTGCAAAATCTGAACAACAATGTTGATGATGAAGCGACTTAGAGGTCTCTCATTCATAGGGTTATGATAGTCAAAGTCAACTTGAGAACAATTCAGGCTTTTTGTTGAATAAAATGGGGAAGGAGACTGGTTGTAGTCAAATTCCTGAACAATAAGTAATTACTTCCGATTTCTAGAGAAGACTGATCTAACATTAAGCTCAGCTTCCTTCTCCTTTGTGATATCTCAGGTATGGGCAAATCCAGGCCAGGGGGCCGGAAGCGGCCCCTTGGGCTCTTTTCTCAGGCCCTCCTCCCTCTCACCTTCCTCTTCCTTCCCTCCTCCTTCCTTCGCTTCTACCCTTCCTTCCTTCCTTCCCTTTTGTCTTCCTTCCCTCCCTCCCTCCATTCCCTTCCTTACATCCTTCTCTGCCTCCCTCCCTCTCTTCTCTTTTTCCTTCTTCCTTTCCTCCTGGGGGGATGTTTAGCTGGGAAAAGAGAAGGTAGAGGACCATGTTCCATTGAGGAGGAAATCTGACTTTCTGCTGCTCTAGAAACCAGGGCATAAGGGAGCAATGGTTTCAAAAGGCAGGGAAAGATTTAACTGAAAAGAGTAAGAAGAATTTCCTGGAAAGTGACATAGGCTGCCTGGGAGTGTGGTGAGTCTCCTTCTCAGGAGGTTTTTCCACAGAGGCCATCTATCAGGAGTGCTTTGATTGTGTCTTCTTGCATGGAAAGGGGTTGGACTGGATGGCCCTTAGGGGTCTCTTCCAGCTCTAGGACTCTATAATTCTATATCAGGAGTAATTGATATAGAATTATAGAGTCCTAGAGCTGGAAGAGACCCATAGACTCTTTGTCTCCCACCCACCATCTCATCCTGACCAAGGCTAACCCTTTTGGGATCCAAACATTTCCCGTCTTTCCTTGATTTTCTGCCTCCGAAAGAGAAGAGGAAGGGGAGAAAAGGGCAGGGATGGCTTGGGGAGGACCCCCTCCCTCCTACCCTGCCCACCCCACTCCAGCTTGCCATGAGGCCCCCAAATTAGAAAGTTTGCCTATGCCTGTGATAGCTGCTTCCCCAGATCTCTAGAAATGCCTTCCACGTGAATGCTTTGACCCTGCTTGCACACACAAATAGCCACCTTGCTCCTGACTCAGTTCTTACAACGTAAATATCTCTTATTCCAGCTCCTGCTTGGCCTCGCATTTAAACATGCTGCCCAAGACAAATTATTATGCCTTGATTGCTAGTTTGTGTCTCATTGCTCACCACAAACAGGAACCATTAGATTCACGTAGCAGATGCTAATTGCCTGCCGCCTAGTTAATTTTGTCCTTGGTGATGAATTGCAACTGCTAACGGGGCCAGAAACAAACTTTTGGGGAGTTGAACAGATACAGCATTCGTGCAGAAGTCTCTTTACTCTCCAATTAAATCAAATGTTTTTCTATTCTCCCCACTCTTTTCTTAAGAAAAGCTGCGTGTCTTCCATCATAGGCACTGTGGCTCATTTGTCTGCACAATTCCTCCAAGACCAATCCATGCCATGTGGCCAGGAAGAGAACGGAAGGCAAGAGGAGGAGGAGGAGGATGCACCTTTCTCTCTCTGCTCCCTCCATGGGAAAGACCAATATGCAGAGGAAGCGAGAACAAGCAGACACTTCAGGCAACACATCAAAAGACTTTGGGAAAAATATAGATTTGGATAATTGGTGGCCTCTTGTAAGGTTATGAGACTTAGGTAAAGCCCATAAAGACCAAGCCATGACACTGGTAGGGTAAACCCCCATTTGATTTAATGGGTTAGATTACAAAGAGCACATCTGGAGGGTTTGGGGACACATACACACTTTTCCACCCACAAGATCCACTATAGCCATACAAAGACTGAGAGTGTGAAAAATAGAATGGAAAAACGTTATTGTCTTTGTACATTGTACAACTAAATTAGGAGCCCCCGGTAGCACAGTGGGTTAAACCCCTGTGCCGGCAGGACTGAAGACTGACAGGTCGCAGGTTTGAATCCGGTGAGAGGTGGATGAGCTCCCTCTATCAGCTCCAGCTCCTCATGCGGTGACATGAGAGAAGCCTCCCACGAGGATGATAAAAACATCAAATCATCCGGGCGTTCCCTGAGCAACATCCTTGCAGACAGCCAATTCTCTCACACCAGAAGCAACTTGCAGTTTCTCAAGTCGCTCCTGACATGACAAAAACAAACAAACAACTAAATTAAATGCTTTTCCTAGCACACACCACAAAAACAACACACCAGTCCTTCCACATTCTAATCACGATTGCACAGCTCTTAATACCGCATCAATGCAAAACAATGGAGTTCAGTATAGTTTCAGCTCTAAGATAAAAGCTGTCTCTCAGTCTGTTTGTCCTTGCCTTTGTCACCCTGTACCGTCTTCCACATGGCAATACCGGTAGTTCAAAAAAAAGAATATGCCAGGTAAGATTTAAAACAACTGATTTTGGAGGTTTACCATCTTGGGGGGCAGGTAGGAACTTGAAGGTATCTTGCTACTCTTGAAAACTTCAAAATCCATGGTCCAGAATGGAAGCTTAAGGACCTTAGGCCACATCTGTCCCATGGACTACACTTTGCCCATCCTTTGCAATTGTACTAAGCAGAACCTGGACACATTCGTTTGGCTGGTATCCTAACTAGGTCATCCTGGCCCCGAAAATGTGAAACGGATTGTAGACCCAAAGAAATATCATTGAAGCAATCAGCAAATCAATCAGCAAACATCTTGATAAATGGAACAAACCCGACATCCTTCTCTCTAATAGGGCATGAATGTCTCACATTTCCCATGCATATGCACGCACACAAAGGCTACAGAAGCCTCTGTGTAGGGCTCCAAAGAAGAGGCAAAATTTAATTTCCTGAGCATAATGGCTGCAAACAAAACCGTTCAATTGGCAGTGTGCATACTTGAATTGAAACATGTGCTTTAATGATGGGGAGATGCGGAAAGGATGCTGTCATCTGGAGAGGCCCTGCTCGCGATCCCACCTGCATCGCAGGCGCGATTGGTGGGGACGAGAGAGAGGGCCTTTTCGGTGGTGGCCCCCCGACTCTGGAACTCACTTCCTAAGGACATCAGGCAGGCCCCAACTCTGGCAGTCTTTAGGAGGAGCTTGAAGACGTGGCTGTTCCAGTGTGCCTTCCCAGAATAATGATTCCATAGCACTTTGTCCTCCAAAGCACTTCACATTTTTTAGGCCTGCTTGTATGTTTTCCACAAATGCCCCATCACTTTTTCACCAATGTTCCAGCATTATTCTCAATTTTAATTTTACATTTGGCCTTCCCATAGTTTTTAATTGTGTGGTCTTATTGTTAATATTGCATTGTCCATGTTTTATTTTAATTGCTTGTATTGTTGTTATTATTGCTTGTATTGTTGTATTTTGGGCTTGGCCTCATGTAAGCCATACCGAGTCCCTTGGGGAGATGGTAGCGGGGTACAAATAAAGTGTTATTATTATTATTATTATTATTATTTGGATGAACTCCCAATATTAAGGATTTGAAGAAGAAAAGAGGCAAGAAGGCTTAGATATCAGCAAAAGGGGTCAGATTTATATACATTTGGTCTTCATTGGGCAAGGAAGTGAAAGGGATGATAGATGAAGAAGGAAACATGGAAGTGGTAAAATCCCCCTTTGATATTCAGTACTTGGGGATTTTGAAGAACGGGAAGGACTATTTAGGAGATGAAGGCTGAAATGGGCAAATAAAGGAGATAAGAACCAAGCAAAAGTGCTGTTGTTTTGTACATAATTCAGATTGCTTACTGTACTGTATATGTGTGTATTGATATGCAGTTTTACTTTAACTCTTTGTTGTGGGAGGGGCTGCAAACCATGTGATCAGATCTAGTCTTGTTCAGGGTTCAGACTCCATTTTGAAAACAGTATGCTTCAAACTTCAGTAGGAACTGTTTTGCTTTAGACTTCAGTAGGAGCAGTATACTTAGTGACTTCATTGAACTTTCAGACTAGACAGAGACTCTATTCAACTCTCAGAACAGAGATTTGTTTTAGATTATGGACTGTTGATTATGAGAAAGATGCCCTGTGTTATCTACAGAGAAACAATTTCAAATCTTATTTGTAACTGGACAAAGCAAAGTCCCTGTATGCTGAATACATGAAGCTTGTGAGTAAACCAACTATGTTATTTTTGTCTCTTGAGAGCATGATGTAAAGGCAAATATATTTTAAGGGAGAGTAGATGCTTTTGGGCAACTAAAAAGAACACTTCTGAAACTCTGCTCTCTCTCTGTGTGTATTGGTATATCTCTGTTCCTTACAGATCAGAGATAATAGGTTCAGTCAAATAACTGAAACTTTAATTGCCTTGCCTGAATGTCATTTTCCCAAAAGGTTATGGCATCATTTTCAAAAAGGTTATGACTTCTAACAAGGTCATGTCCTTCCAAAGATCATAAAATCTTCAAAAGGTTATTGTGGTTTCCATTTTCCAAAAATGGAGATCATAGCAAACACTATGTAACAAAATTTGAAACATATTCTATTCCAGGTTTGAAACTGTTATTTCCTGTTTAATTGTGCAATCCTTACTTTGAAAGTAGTTGTTATCTTTCAGAAACTATATTTCTTGGTTGCCACAAACTCTGTTGAATTGCTTGAGACTCAATGATGTGAAAAACTGGAGCAAAATGTGCTATAGCAGGGTGTCCCTCCCATAAAATCAAAGTTTTGCCAGTTTAATAAACTTTCCCCATGTTTTTATGATAGAACCAGTTAGGAAATGACACCTAACCCAGGAACCAAAATCATGTTGCATCGTGTGATCATCCTAATATGGTAGAACTTACCTCTGTGAACTGCAGTCTTCCAAAATCACTTGGTGGGCTTGCAATTTTGAACACTTTCTTGGGCATCACCCATGTCTCTAGGGTCTCAAGCCGACTGGCAGCAAGGTTGGTGGCATGATGCCGGATGAGGAAACCCTGGAAATGGTCAGCAAGGAAGTAGAGGTGAATGGAAATGGGGTGCCCCACTGGGTAGTACCTGGAAAAACACAGATTGGGAAGAGGTTGATGAACTGCTCAAAGAGTTAACAAAGGAGGAAATAGGTATTTTTACTCATAAAGTGACCCTAAATTCCATTGAACCAGGGACAGGTCCTGGCTCCTTTGGAAAATGTACTGGCCAACTCAAGGGCTCTTGTCAGAAGTTCATTAAAATAAGAAAAGAAATATAAGTCTGGAAAGGAAAACTCCTTATTTTCCCAAATGAAGCTGAAATTGAGGCTTCTGCTGAAATAATTACAAGCTGGAAAAGGCTCTAGGTAATGGCTTATATCTATTTCTTCCCGAATGGCTGCTTGGAGATGTGCAAAATGATATGGAGAGCCATTGCAAGAGAATGGAATAAGGAAAAGAAACTAAATTGAAAGAGGGAGAAGGCAGGGGAAAGTATATCAGCATCACACCTGCATTATCAGACACTGCTAAAACTAAACCCTGACAACCATCTCTGCTTGTCACATTAGCAACAACACGTCTGGCATCAGTGTGCTTCAAGGCGGCGAGCCACCTTCTCTTTCGTGCAAAGCCATGACTTAATGTCCTAGAAGTGCATTGCAGAAAGAATGATCATTTGATCATTCGGTAGATATCGGTCCCCTCATTCCCTTTCAGCATGAGCAACTTCACAGGACTGCGGGGATGAAGCAGGTAAGAGGAGAGCCATGCACACCATTTTGAGGTTTCAGGAAGAAAGGCAGAATAACAAGATGAAAATAACATGAGCAACATTAAGAGCTGTGGCTTCTGTTTGGATTCTGCAAAGAGTTTATTACAAATGTGCTTCTTTCCTGCATGCCAGGACAGAGAAGTGTAATTTGAAGAAAACGGAGTGTAGTAGAATGGTTACTAGGCTTGTGCATTTCGGCTGAACCTCTATCCATTTCTGCTGGCTGGATTCTGGTAGACCCTCATATCCGTTTTCGTGTGCCTCCCAAAAACGGGCGGATAGCCGGATAGCCTTTTTAGGTCCTCACCTGAAAATACGGCTAGATCTGGCCCATTGGTGGCAATGGCGAACTTATGAGGCCCCCCTTTCTGTTCCTGGGACCCCTTTCCTTTTTCCCTTCAAGGGAGCCTGGGTTTCAGTAATGGGGTTAAGAAAGCTCCTTATCCAGCCCATTATAGGGAGGGATGACTTCCCAGACTCCCCTTCCTGTTGTTTTGTTCATATATCCTTCATTAAGACCTGGATTTAAAGTATCAGAGTTAAGATAACACTCTTTCTGCGATCCTTCTATTTGTAGAGGAGACTGGGTTTAATGCTTCGTTAAAGCTGTTTCTATTCCAGAGGAGACAGGTGTTGCAGGCAGGTGTGCACACTCTCTCTCCCTGCAGCACGCACGCAGTTTTCCAAGGCATTTTAAGGAACCCCAGGTAAAGAAGAGTGACAACCTAGAGCTATCCTCCCTGGGCTTCCTTTAAAAAGCCCAATCTCCTTTCTGCTTTGGGTTTAATGCTTCCTTAAAGCTGTTTCTACTTTCTACTTCAGTGGAGAGGTAACTGGCAGTTTTCTGAGAATAAGTCTTCTCTTTTGGTTGCTGGGATTACTATTACTAATAATTATTATTATCAGAAGCATTTTCTGAAGGAGAGGAAGGGAAGGAGAACAAGAAGCTAAAATGGTAACTCTCCAAGTTCCCAAATATGTGCACACAACCCGCTCACCCATCTCACTAATAAAAAAGAAGGAAAATAAAGAAAAAAAAAGAAAAATCATAAAGATTCAACTGCCATGCCAAACTGGGGACGAGGAGCCATGATTGGCTGCCAGGTGGTCCCGTTACAGACAAAAAACTGTGATGGCTGGACCCTTGCTGTTGAGGCCAACGGGCTAAGCCAGAGAAGCCGAACTGGCCAAAGGAAATGGCTAAAAATGGATCCGCGCTCAAGCCTAATGGTTATGAGACAAAGGCTTGAACCAGAAGCAGACTTGAACATGTAAATCTTTCTCTATTAGTATTAAAAAGGGGGAGAGAAATCACTGGAAAAAGAAGGGAGAGATTAATGGGTAATAACAACAACAACAACAATAATAATATTGAAGCAACTAATAAACGTACCGGCAGCTGTTGTCGCCATTAGTATGGAATGAGGTTGTTGCTCTCCTGAGGCCCAAACGGGAAAACGAGTGGTACATGGTCAGCGCAACATCGCTAATGCTGTGGATGCCATCTGGTTCATCATAGGCATTCTCCCAGTAGGATCGCAGGCCCGGCATCCCAGAGGGATAATTGCCGTACAAGTAGGAATCCAACTGGCCAATTATTTCTTGATTCACCACCGCCTCAAATTTGCGTGCAAAGAAGGTTGGTCTTGCTGTTTGCTGTAAGAACAATAAATAAATATAACCTGCCTATTTTAAAAATGTGATATCTTTCAAACATGACTATCATGGTGTCATCTGGAAATGTAATAAGCATACCCTCCACTCTGTCACCCAATTCATGTTGAACAACACTGGGCCCAGGACAGAATTCTGTCGCCCCTTCTTTCCCGGAACCATTGATTGGCTGTGATTTTTAGCTTTGCATATGTTTTAATGCATTTTAACTGTGAATTTTTAATACTGTTATACTTAATTCTGTTTTAATTTATACATATTTGTATATTTTAAAGGGTGTGGTCATACTTTTAATTGTAAGCCGCTTTGAGTCTCCTTCGGGAGAGACAAAGCAGGGTATAAATAAACATAATAATGATAACAATAATAATCAGCACCCTTTGGGTTCAGTTGCTCACAGTAGCATTGTTTAGTTCACATTGTACTAGCTTCTTTGAAAGATCATAAGATCATGAGGGAATTTGTCGAAGGCCTTATTGATAACAAGATATGCCACGACCACAGCACTCCCTTTATCTGCCAAGCTTGTTGTTGCTCTCTCAAAAAAGAGGTGAGTTTTTGACTTGTTTTTCAGAAACCCTTTTTGACTTCTAGTGAACATGGCATCCTTTTCTAAGTGTTTGTAGATGTTTCTGTCCAATGTTCTGTTCTAGAATCTTTCTTAGCATTGATGTCAGACTGAGTGGGCCATAACGTCTGCCAGGACAACAGCAAAGTGAAACAACGAGCCTCACAAACACCCAAATTTTCATAAGATGGAGTAATGACAGTTGAAATGCCATTACAGTGCTATAACTATGTAACATGATTTTTGTTCTTGTGTTTTGCATGTCATTTCCTAATTGGTTCTATCATGAAAACATTGTAAAAGTGTATTAAACTTCATAAACTTTGTTTTTTGTGAGAAGGACATCCTTCTATAGCACATTTTGCTCTAGTTTTCCAATGACTATTTCATCATTGAGTCTCACCATCTATGCTGATGATTGTGCCATTACTGCTCAAGCAGGGAGCTTTGAAATGGTTAAACAGAAGCGCTCCAAAGCTTTAGGTACTCTTACTGTTTATTACAGGGAAATCCAGCTGATTCCTAATACATCTAAAATGCAGATGTGTGCTTTCCCCCTTAAGAACAGACAAGCATCTCAAGCTCTGAGGATTATCTAGGAGGAAATCCTACTGGAGCACTGCAGCACACCAAAACACCTGGGAATCACTCTAGACCGTGCTCTGACTTACAAGAAGCACTGATTAAATATCAGGCAAAAAGTGGGTGCTGGGAATAATATCATATGAAAGCTAACTGGCACAACCTGGGGATCACAACCAGGCACAGTGAAGACAGCTGCCCTTGCACTTGGCTGCTCTGCTGATGAATACACATGTGATGTGGAATACATCTCACCATGTTAAAACAGTGGATGTGGTTCTTAATGAGACATGCCACATTATCATAAGATGTCTACATCCAGAAGGTTGGCAGTTCAAGCTAGGGGTCGAGGTGAGCTCCCACCACCAGCCCTAGCTTCTGCTTACCTAGCAGTTTGAAAACAGCAATTTGAGTAGATCAATAGGTACTGGTTTGGCGGGGAGGTAAAAGGCGCCCCTGAAGAAATGTCGGCAATTTAATCAGGAAGGCGTCCATGGACAACAGGCTCCTCTGCATGGAAAATGGAACAACACCACCTCCCCATGGCCAAGCCAAGCACAGCCTCCAGATGCCAGAAATGTAAAAAAAACCTTGCCTCTGTCTATGTACTGTCTGTCTTTGTTAATTGTATAATGGCATTGAATATTTGGTATGTATGTGTTCTGTAATCCGCTCTGAGTCCCCTCAGGGAGATAGAGAGGAATATAGCTATATTATATTATTATACTTGATAAAAGGCTGCTTGCAGTGGTTCCTGCCAAGCCAATCCAGGTGTGCAACTTCACCAAAGAGTTGTTTTATTTATTTATTTATTTATTTATTCATTCATTCATTTCATGCAATATTATCCCCCCCTTCCCTGCCCAAAAGGAAGAAGGGCGGGGTGTTTGACCCGGCTATACTCTGCAAGGCTCCCTTTTGCAACCCCATACCTGGAATCGGTGGAAATCGGACGGCTTGAAGTCGTTTGGAGAACAGCCACACCAGTCCACAATGTTCTTGTACTGACATTTGCACCCCAGCTTGCGGTTCCAGTTTGTGATGCGCAGGTTGTTGTCCACCATGGAGTCACAATGAGGGCTGTTCTCCAGGACAGTGTGGAAGAAAGACTGTGAAAAGACACACACACATAAACTCAACCAAATTTAGATGGATTAGAAAGACTCAGGGCACACACAGAGCTGAACAGGAGAGAGGTTGTTACGGCAAAATGGTCTTGAAGCACAATTATCTTTCCATTTTAGTAGGATCTCAAAGACTTTTTAAAAAATCTGCCATGTCTTTAATCTATTTTTTAGACTCCTGCTGGGGTTATGTATTTTAAAACTGACCTGCCTAGTTGCTTCCCTCGCTGTTGTTTTGAAGATTTAATTAATATAGTTCATTGGGGTCTCTAATAAAAAAACTCTTATGCTTTGATTATGTTTTCACAGACAGAATTTTTCAGTTTTTTTCCCTAAAGGAAAATAAAGAAAATGCTATAACAGCCTGGGATGACTATTTCACGTCAGATATCTGGAGCAAGAAAGCGGCTATACAATTATCACATTGAAAAGAATCCAACGGGAGGAGAAGGAGGACGCAGCAGCGCTTAATTCGGCTGCACACTGTTTTGCTTTCAAGGCTTCTCTATGGCCAAGGGTCTCTTTCCTGTTGATAAAGTTCCCAGTGGGAGGCACAGTTTGGGCCCAATCTTTCCAGAATGTATTGATAGGAGAACGCTAACAGAGCCTGCAAACAAAAAACACACTACTCCACACGCACAAAACTGTACAAGCCAATGCTCTGCTTCCTACCCAAACCGTTGCAGATTTACTTGGAAGTTGCAATGCGCTGGAAGCTGAAAATGACCTCACACTGAAACGCGCAGCTCGCCCCCAAGGCAACAGAAGGACAATCTGTCTCCTGCAATTATTTCCAAAATGGTTAAGTCTTTATCTGCCAATTCAAGGCGGCGAGGAATTCCAGTCGGGGCTTTCTCATTATATCACTCCAATTTCAGCTGTTATGTAAACCCTGCATAATGGACACCGACAAGCGTCACCCTGGGGCATTCTTGGAAGGGCGGCAAATTACATATGGCCCCAAAGAGGGAAAGCATTGTGGAAAAGAGAGGGACAAAGGAAGGCACATATTTGCACAGACAACTTTCCATGCATAGAAAGCAAATGCACACGCATAAAAAGGATGGCTGGCATCAATAGTTTCATCCAGTTTCCACATATGTGTGGTTTTAGAGGTTTTAATTAGTTAGACAGAATTGTGTTAGATAGAATCATGAAGAGCTGGGTCTTCTGGTTAAAGAGCAATTGTGGAATGCGGAGGAAAATGTGCTATCTCTCATCTGCAGTCTAAAGTCTATTGTACCCATTGAAAGCCCATAATCCAATGGTAAGGAGTTGTCCTAAAGTGGCAAGCAGAGGTATAGCCACTATCTAGGCCACTATTAACCAGTAATTCCTCCATGTGTGGTTGCAGAGGTTTAATCTGTTAGATAGCATTTTCAGACTATAAATTACTTTTCCCCCATTTCACAATTTATATTGTTTTTGTTATTTAAATTGAACACTGTCCTAAGATTGTTGGATATATTTCTATCTATCTATCTACATAATAAAAGTGAAAAATTGTATGTGTGTATGAGGTGGGGGTGTCCACTTACACAGACAAGCTCCTGCCTTCACAAACAGCTATAGCTCCCACTACTCAGGGGACATCAAAGGCCCTCCCTCCAATGACACTGCAGGCTGTACTGAGTGCCATGAACATATGCAAGAACATATGCAATGTCCTCCACAAACACCATACTGTCCACCACCCAAGTGAAGGCTTTCATACAGGGACAATTTCATCCTAGATTTTATGCATTTCCTCCACCACAGGCATCCCAGTGTTTCTTACTCTCTCCATTGGTGTGGAATTTGCATGACCCTGCCCACTGCCTCTCCCTTAACCCTTTCCTATTCTTTTCTATGGCACAAAGCAAACAGAGGAATTGATCAGCAACTGAACATACTACAGAGGTTTGGGGAAATTCATCATGATTTAGAGAAGTTATAGGTACTGGAATGTATAGTTCACCTGCAATTTAAGAGAACTCTGAACTCCACAAAGTGGACCAAACGTGACACACAGAGATCTTTGGGGAAAATTCATCTTGATTTGGGGGAGTTGAAGCTCACCTACATCCAGAGAGCACTATGAACCCTAACACTGATGGCTCTGGACCAAACTTGGCATACATACCAAATATGCTGAAATTTGATTACCGGCAACCTCCACTGATGATGGACCTGGACCAAACTTGGCACACAGAACCCTCTTGACTAACTCAGCCTACTGGAAGGGTTTGAGGGGACTGACTCACGATAGTGGGGGTTGTAACTTACCCTACAGCCAGAGAGCTCACTGATCCCCAACGATGATGCATCTAGAGCAAACTTGCCCAACACAACAAACTTTAAGTACTGATGGAGTTTTTTGGGGTTACCCTGGCATGATGTGAGTTGTAGTTCACCACAACCTTAGGCACTTTGTACAAGTAAAAAAAAATACTTAAAAAACAACCCAGGCAACGCTAGGTACCCAAACTAGCATTTAAATAAATGAATGAATACATGATAGTGACGTAGAAATACTTGTCACCAGAGAGCGGAAAGCTGTGACCAGCTCATTCTTGGGTGCACCGCTGAGCATTGATGGGAAACTCAAACAGACCTCTTTTATTTCTGGAATGTCCTATAGAGAACACCATACCGCAGCTCTGGAAATCCAAATCCAAGTCCTCACATGGTCATGAAATTCCATGTGTGAATTATCTCTCAACCTGTCCTACATCATCACAGTGTTGTTCTGAAGATAAATCAGAAAGGAAGAGAGGAGAGTAGGCTACTTTGCAACCACTGGAGAAAAGGTGGCATATGTCTGTACAGCCGGGCCTCCACATTGGCAAGGTTTAGGGTTGGAGAAAGCTCACAAATGTGGAACATCTGTGAATACCTACTGGACCCTCTTAAGGCAGTGAAGAGCCAGGGAGAAAATGGGGCATCACCACCACTATTGTCATCATAGGCTGTCACTTGTGGCTGAGTCTGATTGCCTTCCAAGTGTAGGATCTTGGCGGTGGGTCCATAGGTGACTGTAGGGTCCCATTCTTGATCTACATGTTGTTCCGCAGTGGTGACATTGATTTGCAGGTGGAAGGTGGTTCGAAAAGGGTTGGCTTGATGCTCCTCCTTCTTCTTCTTGACACATTTCTCCCTTTTGCCACCCATTGGTTCCTCTTCAGAAACTACAGCACTGTTGGTAACAACTGACCTCCAGTTAGGCACTTGAGGGCCAGGGCTTCCCAGTTCTCTCTTGGTATCTATGCCACAGTTTTTAAGGTTGGCTTTAAGCCCATCTTTCAATCTCTTTTCCTGTCCACCAACATTACATTTTCCATCTTTGAGTTGAGAGCATAGTAATTGCTTTGGGAGACGGTGATCTTTGGGCATTTGGACAACGTGGCCTTCAGTCCAGTGGAGTTGATGGTGGAGGATCATTGCTTCAGTGCTGGTGGTCTTAGCTTCTTCTTCCAGGATGCTGCCATTTGTCTGCCTGTCTTCCCAAGAGATTTGCACAATTTTTCAGAGGCAGCATTGTTGGAATCATTCCAGAAGTTGAGAGTGATGGCTGTAGATGGTCCACATTTTGCAGGTGTTTAACAAGGTTGAGAGGATAATAGCTTTATAGACAAACATCTTGGTCTCCCTATGAATTATCTGATCCTCAAACACTCTCTGCTTCTTCAGAAAACTGCTGCACTCTCAGAGCTCTACTATAGTTACCTGCCCTCACTGCAGGTTTTGGAAGAGAGGGAGGAAAGGTCACAGCCCCCTCTCCCATTTCCCCAGCCACCCTCCCAGATTTCTGTGGAGTTTAAGATGAAGCCCTCACGTGACAGCTCTGGTTGCAGGGGGAGATGCGGGATGTCAGGTGGCGAAGGGGAAGGAGACAGATAGCAGTGGCTTGGCTTGACTCTCCAACCATTCCAGATTCTTCCCTGCAAGGACTGGCCCCAAGCATTGGAGGGACAGTGGAAAACTTGCGAGTAATCAAATCCCTGAATGTCAAATCTGTGAATGTGGGAATCCAATTTTAGTAAGGGAACACTACAAACAAAACAGAGGCATCTCATAATGGCAACAAGCTTATCTAGATCTCAGGAAGGCATCATTCTTACAGGGTTCGTTGTGAATAGCAAGCCCTCTCCTATGTTCCTATCAAATCTGTCTCGGAAGATAATGGCACAGAGAGAAGGCTCAGTTTCTCTTGGAGAGCTCAAACAGGTTCCTATGGGGGAAGCAGCCTCAGATGGTTATTGAGAGTTTAAGAGGAGGAAAAGGAATGAGAACAGCTATGTAGGCAATCCTGAACTTACTAAGGGACAAGCAGGATGTGTGTAGGAACCTTCAGAGGACAGACCTGTAACAAATAGGATTTTAACTGTTTTTTTAATACCGTTAATATTTAATTCTATTTTTACTGTAGGCCACTTTGAGCTTCTTTTTTGGAGACAGAAAGATAAGTATAAATAATAATAATAATAATAATAATAATAATAATAATAATAATAATACACCATGAACAACAAAGAATGTTGGAGGGTGGGAGACCTCAAACACAATCAAATTAAGTAGCAAAAGCAAACTAGAGCAATCCGGCATCCTAAAGAGCAATGGCTTCTTTGCTTATATAGTACAGGAAGTTCTATAAATACTCCAACTAGCATTAGTCTGGCTGACCTCTCCACTTCCCCCCCACCCCGACAATCCCCTTGCTCCCCACTTTTAATGTTAAATGACAGCCCAGTGAATATGGATTTTATGCTTGAATCATCTAGTTAAAGCCATCAAGGCATACAATGTTTTTCAGGCTAGAGCAACCAGGGAATGTGCGTTGCATGTGCCTGTGTGTGAACGGGATGGAGAGGGGGCTACTCAAATGCCCCTTGCCCTGTGTCCTTTCACTGACACAAAATGCCTCTGCAAAGACAGGGTAGGAAAAGGCTATCAGAGCTGGAAGAAAAGCCATTCATGTTTACCTGGAGAAAAAGCATCATAAAAGGAAGGCTATATTCTGTGAAAATGATACAGGTGGTGCCCCTGGGTAACTTCTAAAGGCATTGAATACAAAATATATATGACACTAGTAAAGCTGATGAGAGCAAGACACATTTGCTTCTGTTGTTGGTGCAGCAAACAATAGACACCTGACTTGCAGGCTACAAACAAAATGCATTGGCCAAATGCTTAAATGACTTGATTAGGGGGCTGTGGACACTCATAGAGGTCAGGGCTGTGCACCTTGGAAGATTGATAGAACTCCAAATGTAGAAACAGTGTCTCTTGAGATAACAGTTGATGGGGAAGATGAGAAGAAGAGGGCTATTGGCATCACGTTCCGTTTCTTGGCTTCCTCCTGGGTTGTGGACTGAATGAAATTGAATGAAAGATGTAGGGATGGAGTTTGACAAAGAATAAAGACACCATCATAAGAAGAACGTCAGTATGGAAAACTACAAAAGGAGATGAAGAATTTATGAACTGCTAAACTGTTGAACTGCTGACATGATCAGAGACAATGACTGACTCTTGGTGGAAAACAACATGTTTACATAGTCAAAGACAATGGTTCCTCATGTTAAGAAGGAAGAAAAACATCTGTTTAGAACTGATAGAGTCAGCATGATTTAGCTGCAAAAAAAATCAGTCAGTCATTTACAACTTCTTGAATCAACAGCAACAAGAAAAAAATGTTATATAGGAGACCCTTTTACGATCCAAAAGTGTGGCAGACAGCAGAGTCTGGTCACCCGCCACTTTCTCCAAGAGACAGATGATGTATTAGCAGAATGGCTGATTTGCAGGGAACCCAATCTGGCCTATGTTTGGTTCTCTTCTTCAGGAGACGGAAGAAGGGATGGTAATGTATGCATGGAGGATGAATAAATGATGAATGAGTTTTAAGAGTGTATGTGAATGTTTCCCTCTTTTTGTTTATTTGTGTAGCCAATGTAGTGATATAGTCTGTGTGTCTACCTTCTTCCTCTGTAAAGTTATATACTCTGCCTCACTGGAAATGGAATAAAATAACATTTTAAGGTTTTGAAAATTACTTATGCCACTGTGGAAGCAATTGGGGCAATTTTACTATCCAGCATTGTTGCCTTTTCTAGTGAGTCATATCTTTTCACAATGTGTCCAAAGTCTTAGTTGAGTCATTTAGTGGCTTAAGTGCTTGAAATAACAGTGATTCGGTGTAACACATTGTTTGGACTTCAATGAGAGCGGCATTTGACCAAATCTTACCAAGGTTCACATGGGAACAATGATTTTGCATCATGTAAGGAGACTAATATATTTGAGATAGGAGACGCGCCAACAAATAACAAAGCAAGGTGTCTCTTATGATATTGGGCACCCGGGAGGTGCAATCCAGGCATTTGCAAAAGACCATCATGACATTCCTTTGCAGAGGAGTGAATGAGGGATTGCAGATTTACTCACTTCAGCCGGAAGCAAAGTATACGAGTAGAACCGTTTCATCTTTGTCACCAAGTCGTCGTTCGAAAATGTGACATATTCCACAAATTTCCTGTTCAGCAGAAACCAATCTGAACCACCATCAACAGTGATGCCTTCTGGGATCTTCCGGTCTCCAAGGCGCCACATGTGGGTGTCGCACTCCAGGAAAAGCCTGTCCAGACCTTGTTTTCTAATGAACCTAGGAAAGAAAAAGAAGCATTAAAACAGACGTGGTTATTATATTATCACGGTTGACTATAAGGGAATCAGACTGGGAGGAGAGCAATCTAACAACAACATTGTTCAACTAAAGTGGGCAGAAGTCCACCCCCACCATCTCCATCTCCACAATAAAAATGAAAGGTTATATCTATGTATATTACCAGGATTCCCACTTCCACAAACAGGCTCCCACTTCCACAAACAACTATGATCCCCAACAATGAGAAGCCAAAAAAGGCCCTACTTAATATAACATTGCAGGTTATAGAGAGCACCATGAACATGTACAAGAGCCACCAGCCCCTGTCAATGTCCTCCACAAACACAATATTGCCCACCACCCAAGTGAATGCTTTCATATGGAGACAATTTCATCCTAGACTTCATGTGTTTCCTCCACCACAGACATTTCAGTGTTCCTTACTCTCTCCATTGGTGTGGAATGTGCATGATACTGTCTACTGCCTCTCCCATAACCCTTTCCTACTCTTTTCTATGGTGCACAGCAAACAGAGCAAAATTGATCAGCAATTGAATATACTGGAGGGACATGGGGGACTGAGTCAACATGATGGAAGTTGTAGTTTACTCTGCATCAAGACAGAACACTGTGACCCCCACTGACAATGGACCTGGACCACATTTGACACACAGAACCCCATGACCAACTGAACARACTGGAGTGGTTTTGGGGGGAATTGATCTCYATTTCCAGGAGTTGTAGTTTAACCCCCCCCCCCCCCCACTGACAACAGACCTGGACCAAACTTGATACACAGAATGCCCATGACCAACTGAACCTACTGGAGGGGTTTGAGGGGACTGACCCACCATGGTGAGAGTTGTAGTTCACCCTGCAGCCAGAGCGCACACTGAACCCTACTGATGATGCATCTGGAGCAATCTTGCCACACATGCTTGACATGACTAGCTTTAAGTACTGATGGAGTTTGGGGTGTGTGTGTTAACCTGGCATTATGTGAGTTGTATTTCACCCATAATCTTATGCATTTTCTTAATGGTACCCTTTGTAAAACTTAATAAAATGACTTTTTCAAATAACCTGGGCACTGTCGGATACCCAAGCTAGTCTATAATAAAAGTGAAAATATGTGTGTATTTGTAAGATTTTATCTATCAATCTATGTTTGTATTCAATTTCCAAGATGGCTCCTACATCTAGAGAACCCTGTGACTTCCGCTAACAGCAGAACTGCACCAAACTTGGCACATAGACCCATCATGGCCAATTTAAAATACTGGTAGTGTATGGAAAGGATGATGGGAGTTGCAGTATACCAAAACTGAGAGAGCACTGTGGATTCCACTGACGATGGATCTGGACCCATTATGATCAACTCTAAGTACTGGTGAGGTTGGAATTTACCATGGATGATGGGAGGTGTAGTGTACGCACATCCAAAGACCTAGGTGTTTCCTACATTCAGGGAGCCACCTGAATTCTGCATGGGTCCATTCATTTTATGTATAAATGTATTAGGCTTATGCATTTCGGTTGAACCTCAATCCATTTCTGCTGGCTGGATTCTGGTAGATTCCCATAACTGTTTTTGTGTGCCTCCTGAAAATGGGCAGATAACCGGATAGTCGTTTTCAGTCCGCAGCTGAAAAATATGGCTACATCCGGCCCATTGGCAGAGGCTCCCCTTTCTGTTCCTGTGACCCTTTCCTTTTTTTCCTTTCAAGGGAGCCTGGGTATTAGCAATAGGGTTAAGAAAGCACCCTATCCGGCCCATTATGGGTGGGTGGGTGGGGGGGCTTCCCAGGCTTTCGTTCCTATCATTTTAGGCATTGTTTATCCTTATATCCTTCTTTAAGACCTGGATTAAAAGCATCAGAGTTAACATACCACCCTTTTTGTGGACTTTCTCTTCTTTCTGTTGAGAAGTCCGGGTTTGATGCTTCCTTAAAGCTGTTTCTACTCTAGAGGAAACAGACGTTGCAGGCAGGCGTGCATACTCTCTCCCTGCAACATGCATGCAGCTTTCCAAGGCATTTTAAGGAGGACCAGGGAAGGAAAAATGATAACTTGGAGCTACCCTCCCTGAGCTTCCTTAACAAAGCCCTCTCTTTTCTCTACTGCAGGCCCTTCCTGGAGTGGCACGCTTCAAACTCCTTTCTGCTTCAGGTTTAATACTCCATTAAAGCTATTTCTACTTTGTACTCTAGAGGAGAGGTACACTTCTCTTTTTCTTTACTGGGATTACTATTATTAATAATTATTATTATCTTTTAGAAGGAGAGGAAGGGAAGAAAAAGAAGGAAAGGGGTAACTCTCCAAGCCCCCAAACGTGTGCACCCCACCCACTCGTCTCGCAGGTTCCCAACTCCCAGTCAGTCCCATTAATAAAAAAATCAAGAAAAATAGAGGAAAATAAAAAAGATTCAATTGTGATGCCAAATAGGGGAGGAAGAGCTGATATCAGCTGCCACATCAGTTTTTCGTTATGGATGAAAAACTGTGATGACTGGGCCCTTGCTGTTGCAGCCACCGGGCCAAGCCAAAGAAGCTGGATTGGCTAAAGGAAATGGCTGAAGACGGATCCACGCATAAACGTAGTATGTATGGAGAAATAGAAGTCAATATGGTGCCTCCTTTTAATTGCATCCACATTGACAACTGAACCAAACAGTGTTTTTACCCACACCTGAGGTGACTCCATCCCTAGCATCTGCCACCTAAAGTGGTTCCCTCATTCTAACTAATGGTAGAGCTGGCATCCATCCTCAACAGAAAAATATATTCTCCACAGACTAAAGATCTGAAACCAGAAAAAGAGCAAAACTCATAACTGAGGCTTCCAATCTGCATAAAGGCATCCTTAAAATCCAGGGATGAGACTGGCATTGGAAAAGACAGACTGGTAAACAGAGGCAGCTGGTCGTCTGCACTCAATATTTCTGCAAAGCCTCCTTGGTTCACATGAAACCATGACTTTTGATAAATTAGGAACTCTATCCTTGATTACAATTCCTTTTAAATACCACAGAGCTGGGAAAAGAAACTGAACCACGTCACAGATCTAATTAAATGAAGAAAAAAAAAATGAAACCCAGACGCGGAAACTGCAATGCTCCTTTACTATGTCAAGAAGACAAAAGTGAAATAAGACAATGAGATTTGGAAAAAAAAATCCATAGACGAGCTTCTAATTTCACATTCTATTACAAAGAGATAGTGGAAATGTCTTGCAATTTTAATGTGGTATTCTAGAATCTCCAAATACAATATTTATGCAATTCTCTCTCAAATTAAATATTCATGCGCAAGAAAGTTCAATCACTTATTTCTATTATTGGGGGCAGGGGGGACCTCTGGGATAAATATTAACTTTAAATGTGCTATTTCCATAGATTATTTTTAAGGAAAGCATGTGGTAAGTGCATCAGCTGTCCACAGTTTCACATTTTATGGCACCACTGGACTGCATCTGCATTGGTTATATTTAAATTAGACTGACTGAAATTAATAAGGATTTAAAAAACTGAACTCTGACCAACTTCTACAAGCCCATATCTAAACCAAAGAGGAGAGACACACATGTGTGTGAGAGAGAAAAGGAAGGCTGAGAGAGAGGGAGAAAGAGTCGTGAGTGTGTGAGAGACAAGGGAAAGCACAGAGGGATGACTGCGCAGGGAAGACAGAAAGAGACAGGAATGAAGGGAGAGGGGCACACGAGGAGGGAAAGCAGAGAGACCTGCACACAGGGAACAAATGGGAAGGCAACCCCAACATACAATTATGGTGACCCCATTTGGGGTTTTGACCCATACTTTAAAAAACTATGTCCCGTTAGACCCCTGGCTGATGGCATGTGGGATCCTTCAGGGCTCTGTTTTGTCTCCCAAGGTTCTTACCATATACATGAAATCGTTGGGAGAGGTCACCCAGACCTTTCCAGGTGTTGTCTTAATCCGGGGCTAAGCTGGATCTATTGTCTTACTTTGGGTTAAAACTCATTAGCCTGTGTGCATTGTGTGGACACACCAGGCTAATGCTAACACCTTTGGAAAAATGGCATTCATAATCTTTTGAAAAGAAAAATGATGTCATATCCTTTTGGCAAATGTGAATCTCCATGAACATCTGGATACCACCTTTTGAAAACTACAAGTCAAGGAAAGGTATGACCTTGTTAGAAGTCAACCTTTTGAAAAAGTGTTGTTCACAAGCATTCATGTAATGGCACACATGTATCTTAGCTGTTAAACTGATAAACCTTGTCTTTGAACTGCCAGGGACAAGGACACGCCACTGCATAAAAAACATACTTAGCTAGCAGAGTTTTAAAAATGTTTCTTTGAAGTTGAAATTGCAGTTGCAGTTGCCCAAAACATAGACTCTCCCACAAAACCTCTTGGTTTAAAAATATGCACTCAGAGACAAAAAACAAAGTCTTCTTTAAAAAGTAACATATCTTGTTTACTCACAAACATCCTGTATTAATTCAGTATACAGACACATTTATAGATAGGATGTAGTTTCTCTGTGCTGAGAAACAGGGCATCATTCTTAATCAATAGTCCATAATCCAAAATCTTTAATTATACATCTTATGAAAGCTGGGCTGTATCACAGCTGGTCAATAGGCAGCAGCAACTGATCACTGCCAATCTGAAGGTGGCAAGTTTGAAACCCGAACTTGATTGAGCACCTGACTGTTAGGCCTAACTTACTGTCCACCTAAGCAGTTTGAAAACAGCTGAGATGTGAGTAGAGAACTTAGGCCCTGCTTAAAGCAGGGAGGTATTTTACAACACCATAAAAATACTGGCGATCAAAGAACAAGGAAGAAATAGATCAAAAGAGCTCGGCGTCATAGTGGATGAAGTGACAGCACACCCCTGTGGCCAGAATAGAGCATAAGCTCCAGATGCCAAAGTTGGAAAATGCAGAATACCTTTCTCTGCTTGTCTTGTATGTCTAAAAATGGTATTGAATGTTTGCTGTGTATGTGTGCATTGTGATCCGTCCTGAGTCCCCTTCGGGATGAGAAGGGCAGAATACAAATACTGTAAACAAACAAGTAAAGAAGTCTGAACTGTGTAACTGTACTCACTGCTTCTCAAAAGGGACATATAGTAAACTGTTCCTGCATGAGTTCAAAGGACATCTGCTTCCATTGAAGTCCAAAAGCATACTGCATCCTCCTCCACTGAGGTCTAAAGTGAACTGCTAACATTGAAGTCCAAAAGCATACTGATAACAAAATGGAGTCTTGGTCAAACCGGCACACCAATATAAGTAATCCCTTGCTACTTCGCGGTTCATTTTTCGCGGACTCGCTGTTTTGCGGTTTTTCCTTTCTGAGGCTGGTATACAGGCCGGGTATACAGGCCTGAGGCATGGCGGTGAAGGCCTGCTGCTCACAAAGTGCGGCCTACTGCATTACTGTGGCCCCGGAAGTGGCTCCGGAGGTGTTTCTTGGATGGACTTGAAACAGGGGCAGGCAAGGAGGCGTGAGAACTAGACTGCACTTGCGTGCATGAAAACTTCTTATATATGCCCGATGGAAGTGGAGCGCTTTCTAAAAGTTGCTGCTCAACTAAAGTGACTGAAAGATTTCATTTATAAGGTAAAGGAAAGGGGTTATTTAGTGTATAAGGGTGTGGGGAGGGGTTATAAAGACTTTAACTAGTGTATAACTACTAAAATAATGTATAAATATTAAAATATATATAACGTCCCTACTTCACGGATTTTCACTTTTCGCGGGTGGTCCTGGAACGTAACACCCGTGATAAGTGAGGGAAAACTGTGTTCATACAATACAGTTTAGCAAATATATACATTAACATACAAATAGTGAAGGCTTGGAAGACTACTATTTCCAACAAACACTGGATGAGATGGCAGTGTAGACGCAGGCACAGCCAGTGGTGAGGAATGCTGGAGGCTGCCGTTCAACCTGATGGAATCTTTGGCCCCAGACCCATCCCAGTTAAAGGTGATGCTTATTTTAAAAAACTTAACTGCAGTGAGGATAAACTTTTTAGGGAGGCACAAATGAGGAAGGAAAGTGTCACGAGGATGGGAGAATGCTTTCCATAAATGCCTAATTGCCAGAAGCACAGACAGAACCCTCTTAATCTCTCTCTCTCCAAAATGTATAACTGGCAGCTTTTGAATTTGGTCTTGCCCACTGATGGCCTTTGCCTCCCTTCTTGGAAAAAAGGAACTCATGAGAAAAGGTGCTTTGCTGGGGAGAAATATCCCTTGAATTCAAAGCTTGAAAGACAGTCAAATGGCTCTTCTGGGAATTGCCTAATTCCCAGTTCTAACTTCACAATATCACCCATGGGACTCATTATGGCTCACTGAAACTTGGCAAAGGCTGATAATAAAAAAGGGAAAGAAAACCCTGAAATTCCACTCTTGAGAAGTACCCTGAAATGAAAAATGGGAGAACAAGAGCAATGAAATCTCTTCTACCCATTGGAGATTAAATATTCAGCGGCTAACATTAATCATTATAACGCTCTGCTAAATGACATTCCGAAATTACAAAGTCTAAATGGCAACCCCCTCTTGTCTTCCTAAAAATTAACAAGCAACTGATTTGTTGGGCGTATTTACTAACAAACCATTTGTCAGTGTTTACTTTTAGCATAAGGCTTGAAAAGCCATCTATTTTGGAGAGCAGAGGCGCTTTCAGTACCAAAAAATAAGTACGGTTCAGTTTTTTTCCAGCATATGAATGGAAAAGGCTGCTTCTGTCGCTGTGCAAGGACACTGCCGAGTCTCTTTAGACCTGGCTAAAGTCATGGGGGAAAGAAGGGGCTTTTTCAGGGTGGCTTAATTCTGTCTCTAAAAGAGGATACTGTACTGACTATAATAAAATACTTACAAAGACTCCATTCAACTCTATTTATCTTTTGGTTTCCACCTTTTGGTTTGCTTACAGGAGTCCAGTGTTGTTGCATCAGTAGTTTTCCAGATGCAAACACAACAAACAGTCTTTCTTTTCATAGAAGCATGCCTTGTCAGACCAGTAGAGACACTCACTTTCATAGCTGCTGGATGCCTACACCGATTTTGATATTTCAGCTTGGAAGAAAAGAGATTCCCCCTAAATGTTGCAAAGAACTTCTGTTATTATAAAAGCACCAGCCAGCCTGGACAATAGTCAGGAATTCTGGGCGCTGAAGTCCAAAACACCTGAAGGATCAAAGTTTGGGAACCACTGTGCTGGACAATAGAAAGGGCTGCCTCAGAAAGTACTGGGCTGCAGGCCTTTAAACAGAGGCTGAAATGTATTGTCGAAGGCTTTCATGGCCGGAATCACTGGGTTGTTGTAGGTTTTTCCGGGTTATATGGAGGCAATTTTTTTTCCTGACGTTTCGCCTGCATCTATGGCAAGCATCCTCAGAGCATCTATGGCAAGCATCCTCAGACCTCACTACCTCTGAGGATGCTTGCCATAGATGCAGGCGAAATGTCAGGAGAAAAATTGCCTCCAGAACATGGCCATATAGCCCGGAAAAACCTACAACAACCCAGAGGCTGAAATGTCTACACTAGAACTTTTTAAACACCCTTTTTAGATAGGTTTCATTTTGCGACACAGTAATTCTGTTTTACTAGCAAATCTAGGTTCCACCAACCCCTTATAAGAGATACGGGTGCATATATGTAAATTGTAAAAATAAAAAATCGTATGGTGACATAACATAGCTCACGTAAACCTTTTATGTATGTATGTGTATTTGTGTGTGTGTGAGTTAACACACGCACAAGGGTGGGTCAAAAAGTAATGCCTCCATTGCTCTAACTTTTATTTCTTTCTCAGCTACTGGACTATCTATGCATGGTATGATAGAGGTAACTTTACTCTACTGATATAGTCTTTTCTTTTTTCGATTGACTGATTAGAACCATGAATTGGAAGCTAAAAGAATTGAATTGAATTTCTGGCAAAAGAAGGTTGCGCACCTAAGGAACTCCCATCATCACTTGAAGATTGTTTATGATTTGTCCCCTTCTGACTTTTACCTGTTTGGACCTCTGAAAGTCAGCCTACGTGGTTTCAGATTCAATGACCCAAATGACATTCAAACAGCTTTAAAATAATGGGTCATGAAGAAAAACCCAGAATTTTTCCAAAATGGTTTTGATGCCTGGGTTAAATGATGGCGCAAATGTGTCCAAATTAATGGTGACTATGTTGAACTGTAGTTTTGCGTAGAGGACAGTTCAGGCTATGATCTGGAGCAACTTCTGCTGTTATATGTTTATTCATAATGTTTTTATGACACAGAAGGCAAAACTTTTTGACCCATCCTTGCGTGCTTACACACACACACAGATAAATAAAATATACATATAAAGCTATGTAACATGATTCCCCCCCCCCCCCCTCGGTTATAAATGTCATTTCCTAATTGGTTCTATCATAAAAACAACTGCAAAACTGCAAAAACTTCATTCCTGCAGGCAGGACATCCTGCAGCACATTATGTTACATTATTATATTATAATTATATTTATTATTGTATTATATTATAAGTATATATTATTATAATATATTATGCTATATAACACGATTTTTGTTCCAGGGTTATACATGCCATTTGGTTCTATTATTTAAAAAAACAGGGGAAAAGTTTATTAAACTGCAAAAACTTTGTTTTGGTGGGACATCCTGCTATAGCACATTTTGCTCTAGTTTTTCAATGAATGTCTCCAAGAGTCTCAACCAATTATACTTAGTTTATTGCCACGAAAACAAAGTTTATTAAGTATAACAACTAGTTTCAAAGTAAGGGCCGCACAATTAAACAGGAAATAATACATTCAAACCTGGAACAGATTTTCCCCCTAATTTTGTTGCACAGTGTAATTGGTTGCTTATTTCACATAGACTTTGAGGTTTCTCAGGACATTTGCGTGCCACACTGACCCTCCTCTGCAGGTGACATGCTATCATGTCATGATACATAGTTTGAAAAGCTCACTATCATTATTTGGTTGCATTACTGACATATTTTATATGAAAGACAGAGAGAATACACGGCCCAGGTAACTTAGCATACAGTTTGAAAACACAACAAACGATGGTTGGAAGAATGAAACACCATGGTTTTAACCATCCTGTCAAGACACAGAGGAAACTCCATTACCTTGCATTATCTCTTCCATGTGACTTCAAGAAGTTCATATCTCGATATCGGGACAGGAATGCAACAAGTTGATCATTTGTCCTGTAAAACAATGGGACCATTTAAAATACATAGGCTATATGTATATCATGAACAAATTCTCAAAAATACATGAATGAACAGCTATATCAGTGAAAGACATAGTTACACCGACTGTATGGGGACATGGAAAGAGCCTCCTTGAAGACTGAGTAAATACAGTCAGGCGTCCTCTGGGACAACGTTTCTTGTAAACGGCTAATCTTTCCAAGCATTGCTTTTAAACATTTGAAACCGACTGTACTTTACAACTGTTAGCGATTTCTTCAAATACATGCATCACATCTTGATGATGTTTCTCTTGTAATATTATTTTCATATTCAACATAAGAGCTTTAATAGAGTATTTTATATTTACAAGGAAGAAATAGATTAGCTTCTGTAGTTCATCTAGCCTGGAATGGACCTGTTCCCGGATCTACAGCCTTGGGTTGAGCTTTAGAACAATAGGTTGAACCACCAGCTGCAGAAAACCTTGCTGACCGAAAGGTTGACAGTTAAAGCCCAGGTTGGGGTAAGCTCCCAATCGTCTGCCCAGTTTCTGCTCACCTAGCAGTTCGAAAACAGCAATGTGAGTAGATAAATAGGTACTGCTTTTGCAGGGAGGTAATAAAAAGTGCCCATGCAGACATGCCAGCAATTCAATTGGGAGAACGTCTAAGGACAACAAAACTCCTCAGTATGGAAAATGGAGCGACAGCACACCCCCCGTGGCTGGAGTCGAGCATAGCCTCCAGATGCTGGAGATGGGAAAAAATTGGAAGCCTTTACTTCTCTTAATGTACTGTCTGTCTCTGTTAATCGTATAATGGCATTAAATGTTTGCCATATATGTGTACTGTAATCTGCCCTAAGTCCCCTCAGGGAGACAGGGCAGAAGATAAATAAAGTAGACCATTGTGCAAAGCAGAAGAACAAAACCAAATAAAATAAATGTGAAGGAGGCACAAGTTTAAAAGCCATTGTATCTGTTCAATCCCTTGGAAGAGGCAATAGGAAAAGAAGCAAGCTTAAGAAAGTCTTAAAATCAGCCCACACAAAGGAGAACCTTGTGGCACATTAAAACCTACAGATTTATCGAGGCAACCATGAAAGCTTGGCCATAATAAATCTGTTAGTGTTTAAGGTGCCAGAAGACTCTCTGCTTTTCCTCCCTGTTTGTTCTATCCCTCTAGAACCTAAAATCAATACCTTTTCCTTCCTGTCTACATCAACACTGTTAGCAACACTAAGGAGAAAAGTATCAACCCCCTCTAATGGCTTCTGTGCCAATGAGGTGATAACTCATATGGGATCACTGAGAAATGAGAGAGAAGGCTCTTGACATTTTCTATAGATCTCTGAGGTTATTAAACTAAATAAAACTTTATTTATATCCTGCCCTAGCTCACTGAGGGGACTCAGGATGGATTACAAAAGATATCAGCCAATATTCAATGCCGTGAGAAGCTAAACAAAGACAAAAATAACCAACCCCGCAAATCCCAAAAATAAATCCACATCTAAATTAAAAATAATAACACATCATATTGCAATATTACTATTAATATTGTATGTAATATATAATATACAATTATCATATTATTATTATTTATTATTATATTGTGCTATATTATTGTAAAACAATATATGTAATACACTACCAGCAAATTATACTATTAGTATTATATAATATGTTGTATTATATCATAAGTTGTAGTATATACAATATATTGATTACAACATTATTAATATTATATATAATATACTAGCACTGTGACATTAAAATGTTATTTCTATATATATTATATTGTATATAATATATCAATATATTGTACATATCAATGAAGAGAGGAAAGCTATGTATAATAATAATAACAACAACAACAACAACAAGAACAACAACAACAATGGTTTGCCAGGCACAAAAGCCTTTGGCAATGTAATAGTAATAATTCCCTGTTTCTTCCCTTAATTAGATGTATTATTATTATATTATTATAATGGGAATAATAATAATAATAATAATAATAATAATGGTTTGCTGGCCATGAAAGCCTTCGACGATACAATAATAGTAATAATTCCCTGCTGCCTTCCCTTAATTAGATGTATAATAATGGGTATAATAATAATACTTTATTTATATACCACCCTATCTCCCCAAATACAAAGTTTAACCCCTCACCTCTATGTAAGATCAAATCCCTTTCAAAGAGAAGGTTGAGTCCCCATCTAATTCAGTTTCTGAATCCAGGTGATCTGCTTTGAATTGGATTATATGATAGTGTAAACTCATATAATTCAGTTCTGCGCAGATAATATGGATTCAGAAACTGGATTATATGGCAATGTAGACCCAGCCTGAGTAAGTACAGAAACAACAATGGAAGACTATGGCTGCAGAAAGAAGGATGCCCTACTTGAATCACCGCAACCTAGAAGATATTGTTGAATGGCAATTCCAATAAGCGGTTGCCATTGACTATGTTGGCAAGGGACCATGAGAGTTGTAGTCAACAACTTCTGCATGGCCCATTTTCCCCATCTGTGCTCTAAACAACTTATTCTAGAATCAGGGGGTTGGAAACGGTCCCCTGGAGGAGGGAAGCCTAGGTGGAAGCAGTCCTACGAAGAAGAGGGAAGTCGGTGTCTCTCTGGACGGAGATGTGCATTCTGGCAATGGCATACAAACATTCACATGCTTTGAGAGAGTCAGCATCCAAGCAAAGTACAGTCAACACTACCAGTTCTCAACTCCATGCTGTTGAACTTCATCTTCCAAAATCCTTGACCACTGGCCGACCAAACAAGTGTGCTCAAGGAGCAGCTTGCATTTACAACCTCTCCAATCCCTTGAAGCAAGCGCTCATTACACTACGTAACACCATTTTTGTTCCTGGGTTATCAATGTCATTTACTAACAGGTTCTATCATAAAAACATGGGAAAATTTTTACTAAACTGCAAAAGTTTGTTTTACGGGACATCCTACTATAGCTAGTTTTTCAATGAATATCTCCTAGAGTCACAACCAATTCAACATAGTTTCTGCCACAAAAACATAGTTTCTGGAGTAGAACAACTACATTCAAAATAAGTCCTGCACAATAAAACAGGAAATAACACTTTCAAACCAGGAACAGAAAAAAATATTGACATTTGCTACATACTGTAATGCCCTACTGAATAAGCAGACAAATTAACCATTGACTGAGACGAGACCACTTGGAGTGGCTGTCTATCAATTAACCAAAACGGTTAGATTGCTGAAGCCAGAGACATGCCTTTGATGCATATTCATGCAAGCATTAAAAATCTCCCCGGGCCACAATTTGCATCTCAATTTGGCATCCTTAATATATATGAAAAGGGGTGTTGGGTTGGGAGAAAGAAGAGAGAACCGCTCTCTGTCATAAGGCTGTGGCGGTTTTCACATTTGCTGCCTCGCTGCTTCACCATCTTTGCGGGAGGAGGGATGAATCAACATTGAGGGAATTTCCTTAGCAATCTTTCCACATGGAAAGGTCTCAATGGCAGACATCCCGGGGTGCGTTTCTTGGCAAATATGGGCATGCTAGGCTAATCTTCTCGGTGATGTTCCTTACTTTTCTGCCTGAGTTTACTCCAGTTGTAAATGTAATGAGTTAAAAAAAAGAAATGGAAAAAACCTGCTTTTATTTTGTTCCTTGCAAGACTAGATCAATTGGCCCATGTTTCAGAAACATAGTTTAGTAGAGCAGAAGTTGTTGGGCACTGAAGGAAACACTTCTGAAGAACTGCTATATTTTGTGCATTGGCATAATCTCTGTTGCTAACAAGAGTTCCAGAAAAACATCTTATTGACCATTCAAAAGCCATTGACAAGGTGAATCTGTGTAACAGCCAAGTAGCAACGGTAAGAACAGACCACGGAAAAACAGACCGGTTCAAGGTTGGGAAAGGAGTACGGCAGGACTCTATACTCTTACCCTCCCTATTCAACTTGTATGTAGAACACATCATGCGATGACATGCAGGGCTTGGTGAATCCAAGGCTGGAGTTAACATTGCCGGATGAAACATTAACAACCTTAGATATGCAGATGATACCACTTTGATGGCTGAAAGCGAGGAGGAGCTGAGGAGCCTGATAACCAAGGTGAAAGAAGAAAGTGCAAAAGCCGCGTTGAAGCTAAACATCCAAAAAACCAAGATGATGGCAACCAGACTAATTGATAACTGGCAAATAGAGGGAGAAATTGTGGAGGCAGTGACAGACTTTGTATTTCTAGGTGCAAAGATTACTGCAGACGCAGACTGGAGACAGGAAATCAGAAGATGTTTTACTTCTTGGGAGGAGAGCAATGACCAATCTTGATAAAAGAGTTAAGAGTAGAGACATCACACTGGCAATGAAGGTTTGCATCGTTAAAGTAATGGCATTCCCTGTAGTAATCTATGGATGCGAGAACTGGACCACAAGGAAGGATGAGTGAAGGAAGAGAGACACTTTTGAACTGTGGTGCTGGAGGAAAATTCTGAGAGAGCCTTGAGCTGCAAGAAGATATACTCCAGGAAATAAAGCCTGACTGCTCACTGAAGAGAAGGATATTAGAGGAAAAGATGAAGTACTTTGACCACATAATGAGAAGACAGGAAAGCTTGGAGAAGAGGGGAAAGGGAAGGAAAAAGGAAGAGGGGGCAACCAAGGGCAAGATGGATGGATGTTATCCTTGAAGTGAATGGCTTGACCTTGAAGGAGCTGGGTGTGGCAACCGCTGACAAGGAGCTCTGGCCTGGGCAGGTCCAGAAGGTCACCAAGAGTCGAATAAACAACTGTTCCTAACAGAACAGAGACAACTGAGAGCCAAATTGACTTGCATAAGTACATGTGGATGTATACCACTGAAGAGAAGATTTTATGCAAACGGGTTTTGGCTCTTCTCTGGAAGATCATACTTTTACAAAGGGTTATGATTTTCAAATGGTTGTGAATGCCATTTTTCTCCAAAAGGTTATGGAGATTCTGGTTTTCCAAAAGAT